AAAGATCACAATTTTAAGTATCCTCGTTTATAATAAGATAATATATCGGTACCTACTTTAATTATACGAGAAATCCAACACTGAGAATTGCGATCCTGTGGCCACGTATCAGTGACTTGTGCTTCCTTGTCAAATCAATCTTCAGGTTGTCCAATCACCAACACTTTAAAGAGAATCCAAATTCTAGACTTTTAATTAATTTAGCCTTAAATCAATTCTTCCCCACTGGAACCATGCAAAGAAAGAGTTTAAACAAAGTGTTTAGACAAAATGTTTTCGACCACTGAGAATTTCGGGGAATACCCAAACTTAAGTTTATGTATGATATTTCAAACACAGGAAGCCCATTCATAAAACTGGTAATAATATTCGGAAAGGGATATTTGCGACAATCTGTGGGAAAACTTTTCTATTATGAAATTAAATCATCACAATGACTTGTGATAAGGCTGTCAACAAAAAAAGCACTGTTACATTTTCTCTATTACTTACTTCTTATTGTATGTATTTGTATGATGTTTTTACAAGATCTATTCGAACAGACGGAATTACTATTAATTTTTCTAAACTTTATTCAGTGCATAGACAAAGCCCTCCAAAGCAATTCGACCTTTCAAATCAACATTCAAAATCTACGAGGCCAGGAATCCTAGTCTTGACTCGTGGTTTGGTGCGCGTAAGTGGGCGAGTAAAGCGTCCAACCTGACTCTAGGGAGCATAACTAAACACAATTATGAAGAAATGGGAGCAGATTATTTAAAAGAACATTTATTATCTAATTTATTCGTTCCTACTTTATAAAATGTAATTTTCATTTAGAATTAAATCCGTTCTAAGTCCATTCGATATTTTTCGAAATGAAAAAGCTAACGATTCTCAAGGAAGATCCAGGTTCACATTAAGTGGGTATCAGGGGGGTTGGGGGGATTTGGTAGGCATAGGAAAACCAGGCTCATTTGTGACCATATTTTTTTCTGAAAACATTATTCGTTTGAAAAGATGGTGTAGCATTCACCATTTGACCTCTGATATATGAAATGGTCGCGACACATTTTGTCTCCCAACTCTTTTAATTTCCTATCTATCTATAGACGACATGTCCCAGCATGCCGGTGCTTCATTGGCCTATATACTATTCACAGATATTTAATGCATTGTCATTTATTAGAGGTATTTGTCAGCGATCACCTCAGCTCCACTGTCTACTATGGCATCATATAGTTTTTCAACTGGCCAGTYTCCACAACATTCAGTCAATATTTGAAGAATGCAGTTGGGAAAACTTTCTTCAAAATAGGCCATCTGGTCGGAGGATAACCCTACTTTGTCCTGGACAAACGTTTTCCTCTCTGTTCTTTTACCTGAAAAAAAAATTATGAACTTCAATGAGGGTTACAAAAACTGAAGGAATGATGATTAGGTTGCTCAACTGAGATACATGCATTTCAAGTAGGTCCTCTCTAAATTTTAAGGAATATGAATATTAAGAAGATCTTATGGCTTATGGAGGTCGTAAGTCAAGTTCAACAAACTCTCAGGCGTTCTGTCCAGTATCATGCAAGAATGTTACTGTTCTGTAAGCGTTCCACAGGGATCAGTGATATGGCCCCAGTGTTGCTCCATTGAGAGTGTAATACCGCGGACCCGAATCCGCGGATCTGCAGGAGAACCATCTTTTTACCTGTTAATGCTCTTGATAAAAGCGTTTTTGTATTGAAATTCATGTCAAGCACTTTTACATCATGTCCAACTTTCAAAGGACCTAATTAATGTACAGAAAACGATGCATGAGGCATAAAAGGGCTTTAAAAAGGCAAAGTATGTCAACCTTAATGATTTTCAATTGCCGATACAAGAAGTTAACAGAGATTGATTTGATGGTTCTGCAAATGATACGGCGTAAATGATCCTAATAATTTTGATAATCATTATGAGATTTTTTAAGGGCTCTTAAGATAAGCGTTAAGCAACCTGTCATTCCACTAGGCAGCTCATGTCGTAAAACTTCTACAACAGCCTCTCCTCCTTTAGCGACCAGGCATCTGCAGGCTGTCCTACAATTCTTTACGAGTTCTTTGGGTGGAGTGGTGGTGCTATGTTTGTTCAGGTTAAATCTACCAGCAATTTTCTTTGCTAATATTTTCGACTTTTCCAGTGAAAGTGCCTTGAAGTCTTGATTAAAATCAGGTATGATTTCCTTGCATATATCATCATCTATAGAAAGAAACGATAAATGTACGTATTTGAATGTTAAACAAAAAGTTAAGAACTCTTACGATATCTGTTCATTTCTTTTTACAGTTGCTACACAATGTGTTTTGTATATTGCTAACGTTCACTCTAAATGGAAATTCTTCATAAAATGCAATCATCAAAAGCATATTTGAAATGATATTTTGATTCACTTCAAACAGGCGGATGATTTTTCTATAGTAAATATCTCAATCGACGACCAGGAACATGTATATATATGCCGGATCCGATGGTGGTAAAATTGCTCTACTAAGTCAAAAAACTTCCCCAGTTCCTTTTACTGATCCCAATTAACATACACACACACAAAACCCGTACCTGAAAAAGTACCTTCTGTAGARCCTGAGTCCAAGAAAAGACTTTGAAATTGTGGTTGTAGTTTATTTACTTCAGCAGACTAAAATGTAAAACAGACCACGATAGAGGTTTAACATTCTGTTTAACTTTCTTTGGAGTTTAGAACGACATGCAGACTTACATTGGGTTTTCTCTGAAACCAGTTTGAGAAGCTAGATGGTAGGATGATGTTTGCTTTAGTGTGGTTCTTGTGGCAACGTGGCGTAGCGTTTTTCAACAGTTCTTTTTCTGATACAAAGTGAGCACACGAGTCTTGAGAACAGGTCATCTTGCCGTGTTTCGAACAAGGTGGAGCATCTTTACAAACTGGACAACGAATACCAAACTCAAATTCCAAGCATTTCATCCAAGGGAATGATTCCATCAATTGTGGCAAACTTTCTCTCAGAAATTCTAACAGAAACCCACATTGTTGAACATACAAGTCTCCATGACGTGCTGGACTATCTGTAGTTTCTTCTTTCACCAAAGCAACAGTAATAGTTTGTACGTCAGAAATGAGGATCAGGCTGAATGTGTCATTAACAATGTAAAATCTGCAAATAATCACAAACAGAAGAAACATTAATTATATTGGAGACTTGATTTGATTTTTTTTACAATTATTTAAGTTACAATTCCGCAAAGCAAGACATGTGCATATAACTCATTTACCTCGCAAAGTTTTTGGAGAGACCTGGAGGTGTAGAGTCAGGCCAAATCGAGATACACATCTTATGAACYGCCACAAAAAGTCTTGGAAAAACGGCAAAAGGAAGGTGGGAACTGTTGAATCGGATTACCAGTTGGGAAGTCTTGTCATCTTTTATCAATTCATGGCACTCTGGAGCGTTCAACAACATAGCAGGAACCAGATATGATCCATCCTGTTGCTTGMAGATGAGGGAGAACTTTTCCATCAATGTAATTATTGACTGCATGGACGTGTCGTCGTCTAGAAGACCACTCCAGAGATATCTGAGAAACTTATCATTAACGATTCCCTTGTTTTCGAGTTTTTTCCATTCTTGTTCATACCCTTCATGACATTCGATTGGTTGAACAGTTATCACTTTGGCAAACATATCAAGCAGCCATTGTGTATCGATGACGATCATATTGGTTTCAGGGAAGTAAATGATTATCTTTAAGTCGTGTAGATAGTCCAAGAGAGTGTCGAGCTCATCCCATTCAACAATCACTTCATATTCTAAGGCAATGGTTTTGGCTTCTTCATACGAGATGTACTTCTTCTGCCCTTCTTTGACAATATTCAACAGCCTCTTCTCAAAAAGCAACCATCGAATAGGAATATCGTCTTTGCATTGTGGAAGACTTCTCGCTTTTTTAGATATAGCTACTTTGAGGTCTTGTACAGCTGGGTCGTCGGGTCCTCCGCTTCCCGAGACTGTGTTATCTACAGTGTATAAGCCGTGAACAACATGACTTCCGGGTGTAAATTCCTCCCTCTTGAGAGTCTGGAGTATTTGTCTGGCAGTCTGTTTGACATCAGGCTTAAACGGTTTATCAGCATGAGTAGAGACCATAAAGACTGGAGAACCACCTTCAATGGTTGAATTGGCTGCAATCAATGATAACCAGAATTCCAAATGATCCATATTGGTCATTGGACAATGATCGTCGATTATTCTTTCTGCTGAAGCTCCAAATTTTACCATAGGAGTCGCTTGAGCGTGCAGGTCGTTTTGCAAGTTATGGACAAGAAGAAAGATCCCCTTCGTAGGAAGGAAGACTGGGTGCGTGACACTGTAGACTGGCTGTCCTGCGAAGTCCATGGTGTGTAAAAACAGATCATTTTCCATTTGCTTTGCAGATTCAGGGTTTTCTAAAATATTTTTGGCGCATATTGCAACTTGTTCTGGAAGCTGTTTTGATTGGACATCACCAGTGAGACTCTTTTCGAAATCTTCTTGTGTTGTTTCTTCGTCGCTATCCATTTTGAAGTTTTCTTCAAAGGTGAGGGGCTTGTCCTCTTCTGAAGATGTTTCTAAGCTGTTGTTTACGATGTTGTCTACTGGTATGAAGTTTTCTTTATTGAATTCGGGCTCATCGTTATCATCGTCGTCATTCGAGTCCATGGAATTTACYACCAGCAAGTGTGGCATCATTGCTCTTGCAGCACATTGATTGTAAACTACGTGTTCGTCAGTGTTGGTTTTGTGCCAGTCAGCATCTTCTGCCTTGGATAGTGATCGCTGAAGCTTTGCACCAATGGTGCTGTCTTCCGAAGGATTGAATTTCTCTCCTTGTACGAATGTGAAAGCAAAAATTAAGAATAAACGAATTCAATGCGGTGAGCTCAGATAATGAACATGAGTGACTTACTATGAATTGACCTGAGTAAGCTTGTCTTTCCAGATCGGGATTGGCCAACCAAAACAATAGGAACACGACAATGTTTGACTTTTCCACTTTTCAGTGCTGTTTGGTAAGCATTTTGAGCCTTTTCACCGCGTGCAAGGATTTCAGGTGGGACCGTAACTGTTTCCTGATCTGTAAAAGCATCAGAATAGTAACCCACCTAAGCACTTCCTCCTTAGACAACAGATTTTGGGGTATTTAGACTAAAATAAGGAAATTGTACTTGTGCTGGAGTTTATACTGATATACAGACGGGCCTGGGACCGATACTTCTCTTCGCAAACTCCGTCTAATGGACATCGCATCCCACCGTGCTCTCTATTGTTTGATTAGTGCGCTTGGCTCAGGTAATGGCCTTAAAGTAATTATGCGTGGTCTGGAGATTCTTATTATTTTGCTCGTCATAGCTCTTCTTATCGGAAAATCATCCACACAAAGAGTGTTTTCCATTTTGGTCGATATTAACTTTGTATGCATGCATGTAATAAAGAACCAGCAACTACCTCGAAATCATATTGAAGAATACCTTATTTATGTTAGTGCTTAGARGGTTTTTTATCGGCTATTGGAAAAAGAAAGGACGGCGACTTCAAGAACGCGTTTGCGGGAGATGTCCATAAGACATAGGAAAGCGTAGTACTCAATTCCGTTATCTGACAGTCAGGCTGTTGCAAGTTGGAGTGCTTTTTTAAACAATGCTTTTTTGGAAAGTCGACTAAGATATTTATGTATGCGATCTAACTCCTTACTTTGATCAGATTTAGAAATCGCTCTGCAAAGAAAAAAAGTCCCATTCAGTCAATACTCAGAGACGTAGATGAACTAGAGTAGATTGGAGTCAATTTCAATTTTGTGTTTTCTTGTCTACACATTTGAATGGTTTTCAATGAAATCTTCAGTCTTGAGTGAGCAAAAAATAACTAAACGTACCTTGCCAACTTTTTTGCATAGTTCAACAGCTTTGGTACTCTATCGGTGACTTGTTCTGCAGAGAGATTGTTGCAATCATCGCTACTAAGATGAATGTCCTAAATTAAGAGTGGAAGACAACATCATAATGTAGTATTATTTGGGATATATCATAACGGAACAGTACACATATATAGAGCTCCTTTGGAGAAGGCTGACCTACCCAGTATCTGTTTTGAAATACACCGCTGCTACTCGCATTGTTAGAATTTTCATAAGAGAGCTGGGCCGTGAATTGCATTCCGTCGATACTGAAACTAAATGTTTCTCGTGGTGATGCCCTTGAATAAAGGTAGTCAAAGTCTTCCGGACAATTATCTTCGGCCAGAATAGCTTTTCCTTGCTCATTGATGGTCAAGTTGGATTTGACTTATATTCATATAAATTCGCTGCTTCATAGTACAAGTCGTCTTTCGCTCGGCGAGATTGAAAATCTGTACGTACTATATAAAAAAATGGACGAGTTTATGAGTGAAAACTTAACTGTTGAGAAGGTAAACATCCTTGAAGCTATTCCCACAGCATGTATAATTTAAATCTTACTTGCTTCAGTAATTAAGCGAATGTCTACTTCTGTTGAAGGCTCAAAGATGTCAACCAAAGCTGTTTTAGGAGTGGACTCGCAGATGTAGAAGAACGGAGGGGAGTAGGAGCTCTTGATGACACTGTGTATTTCATGAGGACATACAGCACTTTTATAGAAAGTTTGTGAGTCATTGGAGCGGTCAGTGTCAACTACAATGAATATCTAAAACAAATAGATACATAAACCTTAAAATGATGTCGGAAAAGGATCACAATTTCGAGCGGCGCGTACATTAAAAACCGGTTCAAAAAATGGGGGGAAATTTCTTTTTCTACAACTGACAAAAAGAAAGCTACCAAAACTAATGTCAAAATAAAAAATGCGATGTAAAATGTGCGATTGTTATTGTAGCTTAGTGCACTCTTCACGAAACACGAACAGATGTGAATGGATATTTGTCAACTCATTTGCCATAAATGAAAAGCACGACCGCATTGAATGCTGGTTGACCATAACCCTTAATGTCCTTAATATCTGAAAAACTCGTTGCTAAGACCAACCGTCTACAAAATATTCGTGGTAGCAGACGTCCGCGAAACCCGTAAAATCAAATTGGCGAATCCTGCGAAATTCCTTCGTTTGTATGCAAAGATAAGACTCATATGGCTTACCTTCAAGCGCAATTCGTTGAACGATGGTGTTAGGAATGTAAAGTCACAGCGCTCATAAGAAACACATTTCTGATATTTCAAAGGAAACCATTCGTTATAAAGCTGTGTGACTTCTTTTTCGGTCAAACTTAAACCGGGAACAAACTTAAAGCGCCATTTGAGTTCTTCACGAGCAAACAGACGTCTAGGTAATACATGTCTTGCAACTTCGTCAAAGGTGTATTCGTCGGCGTCATATTCTGGAAAACATGTATAATGTGGTTAAACCTTGTTTTTTGTTCTTCTTCTGTTATCTTTATGTAATATATAAGATATGAGCGGGAGACCTTTATGGGCATGAACTGCGAGCTGCAAGTGAGCGGTTTTAGAGCCCATAAATGTCGGACGCGAATACTTCATATTGCTTATGAATGAAATTCCAACATAAGCTAAAGCATACTTTGCAAAAATCTACGAGATAAAATATGATTTTTAAGAGAAAATCGAAGTTACAGTCGTATGCAAATCAGGACAAATCTCTTGTTCTGCATATAAAGATGTGGTTATGAATTATTAATGAATTTGATAAATGTGTTTTTGAAATAATCCTGCAATACAGAAGATCCTACATCCTACAGGCACATACATGCTTATTGAGAAGGATAGATGGAATCCAATGTTTAGAAAATGGCATCAAATATGGACACACGTCCACGAAGACATGCTTTAACATTGGAAGTGTTTCTAATACTACCTAAGCTATGAAAATCGATGTGAACTTTCCCAAAGTGGCACCATACATTACTACTACGGTTGTATTCTTGATTACGTTGCAAAATGTTCGCCAGCTCTTGCAAAAGAAAGTCGTAGTTTCCACTTGCACTTTTATCCTTTAAAGTAATGTTAAAAAAATAAAAATCTTTAAACTAAGGCTTTACGATAGCCACGCCCTTTTTCATATGGTCTATAAACTGCATGAAAGGGGTCTATATAGCCTCTCACAGGCACAACTCGAAGATTGATTGTGTAGACGAATACAGAATGATACGATGAATCCAATTATAATTCATTACTAAACAAATAGAATTTAAAGTAAACAATTTATGAATATAGTTTTTTTTTTTTCGTTAAAATCTTATTGATTTAACTTCGGTTCTGGATAAGCACGGGCGAGCGCCGGCGAGATATAAATCCCAGTCTAGCCACAACTATAAAAAAATTGAGATCCGTGGGTAAATGCTGTCACGTCTAGTAGCGCTACAGTAACTTCAACTAACAGCCAATAGTAGCCGGTTAAACAAGGCAAAAGGGACAATTCCTTAAAGTATCTGAGTCTGTCTGAGAGAGAAATTTGTGTTTTTGGTAAATTTTTGGTAAATCATAGTTTAAGTCATTTTAGTAATCAACCTAGATAACGAAGAAACTGTCAATTTGTAAGTACGCAAAGAAATTTAGTATTAGTATCTATAAACAAAATATGTGTAGCATGTAGCATGTGTGTTTGAAGGTCAATGAAAAGCGGAGTGCAAGAAAGAATGCAACTGCGCCTTCAATGCAAATTTTCTGCCATATGTAAGATGGTCATGATGGGGGTATTTGAACTAGTTTTCAAAATTTTATTGTCACTAATATCTGAATTTATACAAGTATTTTCCTACCTCATATGRCCCCTTTAAAGATAGTCTTACACTGTTGCCGAAAAATTCAGCACTACATGGACTGCAAGGTTGTAACTCAAATCTTCCTTCATTGGCATCGATCAAGGGGAACCAGTGCTRATCTAAACCTTCATTCCTTTTTTTGCATTTTGCCTGCAAAATKTTTATTTCGRATTAATTTATGGAACTTTYAAACTATACAACGCAAATGTACGCCATTGTCCGAGGGTCACCGTTAAGTCTACCCATTTGGAATTTTCACACAAATCTTCAAACGTTACTTACCGCGGTTTTTTTAAGTTCCAACTTTGCTTTAAGACGATTTTCTGMATTATAGCCTCCAATAATAAAGCATGTTGTATTTTCATCGACGTCCGATGTTTTTATTCGGGTATCGGTTTTTGGCTCGATATCATATAAGTGTTTGCGTTCCCGTCCAACGACAAATCCGACCATGTACCTCTGTATTCGAAAAAACGTTTGYCCGTACTGTCCATCATTCTAATTAGAAAARTAAAACAAACAAACAAACAGACAAGGKTATGAAAATTGATAACAATCCTGTTCACCAAACCTGAAAAGAAGCAAAAAATTATTTGCGGGTGGGAGGGGGGGGGGGATTGTGAAAATAAATGTGAATAGTCAGGTTATCTATTGAATGAGTATACATAGAAATTAACAATTCTATTGATTAATAAAAAGTTGATAATCTTTTCGGGTCCATGAAAACGATGTAGAACCTTTGTAAACAATGAAAAAACACTGAGCTTGTCCTGTAAGTCATGGGCCGGTCAGCTCCGTGTAAGATTTTGCAACTGCAGAGCTGWTTTTGTCGATTTAGTTCAGTTTTAACGGATTACTTAGTTGCTGATATAATTTTAGGATGCTTTAGTGGTAGTGACAGATTCCTTACCTTGATGTCCACTTTAGCAGACATGATTTTGATCTTATTCAGTGAAGCTTGAAACACCAAAGGTTACCAAAGTTATTTGTGTTTCTACTCGTAGAATCTGGGGATTTCGATATGAAACATGAAATACTATAGTGTTTAATAAATCCGTTAATAACTGTAATAATGTCTTAGAACATTTTCAAGCTTCAATTAGTTATAAGTTGAAAGTCTGAAGAGAAACCATTTCACAATACAGGGACAATAGTTACGTTCCATGCTAAAACATATTTATATTGGCTGTCAGAAAGTTCCGCAAATATTAGTGCCATCGCTGCTTTTTATATATCAGATAAAAACTTAGTATATACATAGCAGTTTAGTTTTAACAACTTCATTTAATATTTTTGATCTTACTTATTCAGGGAGCGATTACTAGATTTATTTAAAGATGTCGTGATACTAGTCAGAGTATTATTCAGACTAATATAAATGCCTTTAAACAGTAACAGACATTTAGGTATTCCTATGGCCTTTTCAGCTAAACTAGGAATTTATAAAGCAGTTAAAAGTATCCAAAGTTTACCTTTTCTAAATGCTTGCGACTTTTACGCGACATAATATCAATGAATCAACAGGAATATCGGTAAAATTCACCTTTTTGGCGACGCTTGTGATAAACTTTAGTGAACTTTTCTGCGTCACTTTATACCCCCTGCGAATTTCCGAGAAATCATTTGAATATTATTCTTTGAAGAAAGGATTGAAAGGTTTTGGTTGAATAATGATTTATACCTTACCTTTTAAAATTCCTAATTTTTACGGTATTATAAAATTGGAGTGCATCAAACTTCGCGATTTTAAGTATGATATACTGTCCCGTAAAAGACACTTTGGGATTCCTGTAGTCTAGACGCTCTATCTGCATAGTTTCACTTTGAGCGTGGGCGAGCAGGAAGAGCGGCAAAGGTACGTTTTGGCTACGAAAGTCTAAAATATTAGTCTATTATTGTACAATTTAGTGCAAGAGGTTTTCCTAACAAGAAGCCTTAGAAGCCAGGGTATTTATTATGTAGATGGAATTGATTTTTTGCGGCTTTTTCTTTCAGCAATTCTGTTTAATCAGCCCAGCCCAGCCATGTAGTTCGATAGACGTCTCGAACTCGAAGCAAATCACATGAGAACACGCTTATAAGATTTTTTAAAGCCTCACAACAATTACAAATAGGTAAATAGTCGATAGTATATATCATTACTTTTTGTGGTACAATCCTTTGAAGTCTAAATTTATAATGTAATATGCGTTCAAATTAACCACATAGGTGGCGGTCCAAGAGATGACTCGAAATCGTGAAATACTGGAACGGTGAAATGCAGGAACCATGGAATCATGAGATGACAAAAAGGTTGACATCAAAAACGTATTTTACGAACAGGAGTGTTCCTTAATGTTGTTATTTATTAATACTAGCCAGGCAAGGAATGACACAAATGGAACAATAGTGGAACAGTGAAATGCTGGAACCATGGAATCAATGATAGGTTTTTCCAGAATCAAATTGTTCTAAAACGCTATGTATGAAATGCACTATGTAGGATAAGTTTTCTTGGCTGTAGTTGGAAAAAATAGTATATTGATATATTGAAAAATGGACAGCTCATCAGATATCAGTGATACAAGTTCATCTGATGAATATTTTGATTGTGATGACCCAGACAATGTATTGTTTAACACAGTAGTATTTGGTAAAACAGATGAAGTACAGAAGCTAATAGATTATGGTGTTAATATCAACTCAACCGATGATGAAGGTAAAACAGCATTGATGCATTCAGTAATAAAGGGTAAAGAAGACATTGTTAAACTTCTTATCAACTGTGGCGCTGATATTGACATTTCTGATAATCAAGGACGAACAGCATTAGTTTATTCTATTTTGAACTATAGAAAATCAATTCTGATGTTATTGATTGAATGTAAAGCTAATGTCAATGTTGTTGATCACAAAGGAATCCCACCCTTAAAACTTGCACTCATGCATCATGGTAAAGAGTCCATGGTAGTAGCATTAATAAATGTAGGTGCAGATACAAATATCAAATATGACCATGAAAATTCAGCCCTGATGCATGCTGTCAGATTTGGAAAAAAAGAAATAGTAGGTGCTATGATCAAAGCAGGTGCTGATGTGAATATTGTCAATCAGCAAGGGATGACTGCATTGATGATTGCTGCAAGATATGGATGGGATCAGATAGCTAGCCAATTAATTGATGCAGGAGCTCATCTAAACATTGCTGATAAACAAGGAAACACAGCTTTGTTCCTTGCTTTAAGACGTAGATATGAAGAAATAGCTTTGTCACTAATTAATGCTGGTGCTGATGTAAACATGATGGATCATGAAGGGAAGACTGCTGTGATTATTGCATCAGTGCATTTGCTCAAAAAAGCAGCTTTGTCCCTAATTAATGCTGGAGCTGATGTGAGCATGGTGGATCATAAAGGGGAGACTGCTTTACATTATGCTTCAATTTCAAGTGAAGAATTGACTGTTTTATTGATTGAGAAAGAAAAAACTCTTTTAAACATCAGAGATATTTATGGAAGGACCCCTTTGTTTTATGCAATATTATGGAATAACTTAACATCCTGTTACCTAGCTGAGCAAGGAGGAGATCTCCATGTGAGAGACAACCATAATGTGACACCATTATCGTTCTTAATCTGTCAATGCATAGGAATACATGCAAGGAATGCATGCAACTTAAATAAGCAGCACATTAACCAAATTTTAGCACTATTCAAAGAAAAAGGAGTAACAAAGAAAGAATTTTTTCAAACCCTCATCAATGTTCTATTTTGCAAACTGCTCTCATTTAGACCAATGAGGTATTCCAAAAATGCAGAAACCAGAATTTATGGTTTGATTGAGGTAGCAGTTCAAATCTATGGTAAATTTACAGAGGAAAAATGGAAATATGCCTTGGAGTACATTAATAGCATGTTCTCCAGAGATGAATACAAGTTTCCTGTTTTGAAAGAGGCAATGACTATACTTATTGACTTAGGTGCAGACCCAGATACTGCTGATGAAGATGGGAATACTGCTATTCATTATGCAACACAACAAATATTGTTTGGACAATCTGCTGAAAATGTTTTGAAGATTTTCAATGAGTTTCAAGCCTTAGGGTCATCACTGGTGAGGAAGAACTTCAGAGGAGAAACACCACTTCTCTTCTTACTCTCAGAATTGAGATCCGACTGGAATTGGCAAGGCTCAATTTCAACCATCATCACTGGAGTGACTAAAATCTGCAAACGTATAAAGGCTGTAAACCCCATCTGTACTGGTACAACTGCAAACGGAGAATCTATTTTCCACCTCCTCATCAATATTTTCCAACAGTACATGGCGTGGGGAAAATTGGAGCAAGATGCTGGTTTGATATTGCACCTATTAGAGCTGTATGCACCACCAATTGTTAAGTATGGTGTGACTGTTAACAAAGTTGATGATAAAATGTCCTCACCTGTTCATGTCTGGGCTTCACTTTCTAATCTTCTGATTGATAAGAATCTTAATTTTGAGAAATTATTGGAAGCTATACTAAACCACCTGAAGAGATGTGGTGCTGTCCTTTATATTAGAAATGCAGAGGAACAAACACCATTACACCTATGTCGAACATGGAGTGCTGTCAAGCTCTTGATTAACTTGGGAGCAAAGCCAGGTGTTGTTGACTCAGATCAAAGATCCCCTTTCCTTGTCGCTGCACAGAAGCAGTTGTTTCATTTGAAAGCTGGTTGTTTTTATCCTGATGTCACAGAGGATGCTGTCACATTCTGGAAAACTGCTGCCGATATGAAGCTTGACTTATGGGCGTACGATGTCAATGGAAATTCTGTGTTCAGTATTCTTATTGCATCAGAAGAATTCGTGCTGGCAAAGTCTTTACTTGAAATTGCTTGCAATGATGGCTACATCAAGTCAGATGAAACCTTGGTTGCAGTGTTGAGTGACATTTGTGAAGATGAATCAACTAAAACCACCTGGAAGGAACTTTTGGTGAAAGAGATCTTAAAGACTATTAGTCGGCCAATGGATATGAAAATGCCCTTGCGACACTGCTGTAGGAATATCAAAAATTCCTATAAAGAGCATTCATTTGATTCTGTCCATTGGCAAATTGCCAAGAAGTTGCTGTCATTTGGCGCAGAAGGATCATGTTGCTTGGATATAGCAGAAGGTTATCCCGAACTCCATGCTCTTCTTGCACAGCCCCTAGACATGGACGAAGTACCATTGGCCATTCCATGGACTTCTCACTCTCATAATTATGCCAGTAAACTTGCTCAAGTCACCAGGAGACAGCATTGTCAAATTGTGGAGATGTACTGGTATCACACTGAGCCCATTGGAAAAGGTGTATTTGGTCACGTCTTTGCTGGCATTAATTCAAAAGATGGCATGGAAGTTGCAGTCAAGAGAATCGAGAATTTGCGTCTAGAGAGGCGACAAGAAAGAGAAGCTTACACCTTTGCTTCGCTTACTGGATGCAGAAATGTTGTTCATTACCTTGCCTTTTGCACAGATGTGCACTTCTCCTTCATCATATTGGAACTCATGGAAGGAAATCTCAATGAATACTTTGAAAGTCCTCATTTCAACAGCAGCAACAACACCACTCTCTGCAGAGATGTTTTCTGTGGAATAAACTACTTGCATGGGGAAAACATTGTTCATCGGGATATTAAGCCAACTAACATCCTGTACAAAACCCATCCTGAGTTATGTGTGAAAATAGCAGACTTTGATTTAAGTCGTCGTTTAGATATTGATTCATCGTTTACTGTTATGGCTCCAGGAGTTGGATCCAGGGGTTGGATAGCTCCAGAGGTTGTGAAGTCAACTCCCTATAAACATTCCATGGAGTCGGATATATTCTCGTGTGGCCTTATAACACACTACATCTTCTCACCAAAGAAACATCCATTTTACCCAACTGTTTGTACAGGAAAAAGTGAATTGCAGATCAACCAGGAAACAGAAAAGAACATATCTGATGGAGAAATGAAAAGTTTTGATGGCTCTATTGCGCCAGAGGCCTCTGATTGTATAAGGAAAATGCTTGACATCAATGAGAAAGAAAGACCAACTGCAGAGGCTGTACTTAAGCATCCAATGTTTTGGTCGAACAAGAAGAAGATGAATCTTCTTACCGCTGTTGGTAATCAGCCAGAATTTGAAGAACCACGGGTAAAAAGAACTGTTCTACATGTAAGCCCTGTAGAGTTGGTTCTAGAATCAAATGTCTCCACCATAGTAAAGTATGGGAAATGGGATGACCCTAGATACACACACATGCCTGGAATCTACTCTGAAATGACAAAGCCGATTGTCAAACCAGCAAAGAAGGGAAAGTATTATACCATTAAACCTAGAAACTATGATGTCACCTCTGTTGTTGACTTGGTACGGTTCATTCGCAACTCCATTGCCCATGTTTCTGATGTCAGTCGCCCAAGCCCAATCAGAAATGAAATTCTTGGCAATACTGTATTCCTGGAGTACTTTCCAAATATTACCATGGAAGTGTACAATGCTGTGACCAAACATGGATGGAGTCTTTCGAGGGAAGAAATCCAACATGCCATTGCTGACAAATGAGGTAACATAGAAATTAGTGTAATCATTCATACATGTAAGTGTCAAGATATTTTTTAAAATTGAAATCACTTAGTAATAAGCAAATTTGCATCAACACCATTTTCTACAGCTGCATGCAAAGCATAATGGTAAATATAGTCTTAGTTCATACATTTTGTATCCCTTTAGATAATCCCCAATATATCTGTGTAAAAAAAAGTTTGCAAAAATATCGGCAAAAAAAGTAGCGAGTTGCTGTTTTTGCATATGAATTGATTCAGCAGCTGAAATACCTAGCACATATTTGCAGAATGAGCAATACAGACTTACGGAAGCAAGTGCTTTTCGAAGAACAGTCTGGGAAGTGGGTGAAACTTGAGAGGCTGTTGGGCATCGATGCCCAACAACTGAGACGAATGATGATGGATAGAGGGAACTTTACGCGATTCATCGAAGAGATGATCGCACCCTAAGGAGAAAAGTCTCCAGAGAGGGGAAATAGATGATGATGATGATGAATTAAAAAAACACTTTAGCATCATGCTTTGATCTAGAAAATGGTAGTGCTGCACAAATATGCTGTGCCTTTTTATTTTATTTTCTGCTCCCCTATATAATAAATGAGATAATAGCTAGAATGGCAAATTTATAGTTTTATAATTATAAATGATTGTTACTTTGTTTTATTGTTGCAGGCTCGACTACCAAAGACGAATTGGAACACAATTACTGTAAATATATAACTGACATGAAATTGTCATCAAGTCACTATAATCTGATAATATTCATAAAGTCAAGAAATCGTCATCACTTCAAACAGATCACAATGGAGGTGACAACATGCTTTGTCATCAGCAACATCACCTGGGTTTCTGACATAGATTCACTACCAAGCTATGTGCTATCACAACATCCAGCATTCTGATTGGCTACTGAACTATGTTATATTCATGATATAACATGGTATCAACAAATGAAGCAAAAATTGGTCATTTCAGTTCACTGGCGGATCCAGCACTACTTCAGCAATTTGCATCATAAAACAAATCCATGAAAAGGAGCCATTTTGTTTTTATGATGCAATAATATTCATAATGCATGCAACTGAACTTAAGCAAGAACTAGGCCTTTTTGCATGAAATGGTCACATATGGCCATTCTGGTAGGCATTATATTAAAAAAAAATTAACAAACAAACATAACAAAGAAAAGTCAAGCTTGACCGGCTAATTTCCTTTTGTTTTCGAGGTTGTTGACATTCTTTTGCCATCCAGAATAGAAGATTTAGTACTATTTGACTGTTTCATGTTAAAGGCCTATTGTAAATACATTACAGATACCTTATTCGTACCAATTTTCGCTTGCGAGCACTTAATTTCGCGAATTTTAAACACAAATATTTCGCGAGCATTAATTTTCGCGATTTTGAAAAAAAGGATAAATTTAGTGCATTTAATTTCGCGAAAATTGAAAAACAGGCGGAAAGAGAGACTTAAAATTCCTTTTTCACTCAATGATTACTTAAACAATAATCGAAGATTTGTATATAAAGTGAAATGATTATAGAAGTGCATTAAATTTCGAGTGTATAATTTTCGCGGATTCTATTTTTCGCGAGGTTTTAATTACGCGATTTGTTTTAAATCGCGAAAATCACGAAATTAAAGCCTCGCTAAAATTAGTACGATTAAGGTAAATATTTTGAATTTTATAGCTAACTACGCCTCAACCATCATAACTGCAATTATACTAACATCCATCAAGTTTTGATAACACGTTAATCCTGCTACAGTGAAATGGTATTGCTTATGAAAATATTACCCTGTCCAAGACACAACAAAAATTACTGTTTTTTAGTCTTTTATTTAAATTGTACAGCCTGTTTAAGACAATTTCCAGGTGAAATGTATACCCTGTTTAAGACAGCAAGCCCAAAAACCACACCCTGGCCATATATATATGCGAGTACCCCCCCCCCCCTTTCCCCTCTCCCCCCCTCCAGGATTTAAATTGAATAATTCATTTAACCTTGATGCAGATATGTATAAATAGTTTCGCTTCTCATTAATTTCCTTGTAATACTGGGAAGCTCAAACAAAGCATCAATACATTAATATACATGTACAAAAGTTGAAAAATTTCTAACTATAAGTACTATTCTATAATTAAAGCTTGTAGACGCCAAATGTATGAGGCAAAAACAGGAAACGATCTTGAGATATGAACAACACTGTCCTCCATCAAAGTAGTTAGGTGTTCTTTTACTGATAAAAGGAAAAAAAAATATTTTGCATTGATTATAGAATTCAAAAAGCAAATTA